AGACATCAGATTGGTTTGACGTCAAGCAAGGAGTCCGTCAGGGCTGTTTGCTGTCAACCTTTTTGTTTAACGTGTACACCGAAAATAAAATGAGAAATGTCAAGAGATGATACAACCAGAGAGCAATATAATGCCCTAAATATCGGTGGTCTTGAAATACCAGAGATCAGATATGCCGATGATACAGTATTGCTATCAACATCACAGACTGGTACCATCTGTGACCACATGGCCACCTAGAAATGACATAGAGACACAGCACTTAATGTTTTTCTGTTCTCCTTAGCCTTAGTCAGACGGCATCTAGTCAGAATTGATCGATCCACACACAAACTGTATGGCTGACAACAAGGACGTTCATTATATATTTTAATTACGTCCTTTTTTGTTGTTGTTATTTGAAGCCCCACTCTAGCTTTTGCCAGGGGGCCGTAATATAGGCAGGCCATCAATACGGCCAATTGGAACGCGGTTTCTGGGACCTCTCCACGGTGATCCTCATCCACATGGTGGCACTTTGTGTCATCCGGTGTTTGTCGCTTGTGTGATGTCCTGGTGGGGTAGAAAGTCAGTCAGTCAGTCAACAAGGACGTTTGGATATCTGAACAGAATTAGTGATTAGAAAGGGTCATCATCACAGCACTCCGGACAGATCTATATATGCTCTGATCTTCTCCTCAAAAGCTCCACGAGTGTAAAACGACTGATGACGCCTGTTCTGTTTTGGGTAATGAACGTCTTGTCCTCTTAGTTTTTTTTTTTTTCTTTTATCGATCACCGGCTGTGAATTCCAGTGGAAAGTCAAGGTTAATCGTCCGCTTGGACTTTTGGCTTTCACCTGGACCTGATTTTTGCGTGTACAACCGTTTTTCATTTCCCTGCCTCATGGGCAGCTGTACTCCGACTTCGAAGGAAGACGTCAGGCCTATTTCTAGGGTGACTGTGGCCATTGTTTTGTGTGGGTCGAGACGTTGCCTGATTTGTGTGGTGTCCACTTTGTCTCCTTCGCCGCAGGTATTACCCCCGGAGTACCCCTTTGGGGCAGCCCCCTGTGGAACAGTTAGCCCTCAAGGGAAGGCAGGGGCAGATCATGGGCATTCCCCGCCATCCAAGGAGGCTTCCATGCATGCAGAGCCGGCACATGGCGCTCTGGTTCTGGGCTCACCCTAGGAATCGTCACGTCCTGCACATGCCTGCTTAACCTCACAACCGTATCAGGCCTCCCGCTCGACAGGGGCTGCGCCCTCTGGAAGTCAGCGGGGAGCAGCCCGTGGGTTTTGGACTTTTGTGACCACACAGATAGGTACATTCTTTTTTTCTTCGCACCTTAGATTTCTTTGACGAGCCGTTAGCCCGACAGAATTTTACATCCTGCATCAGGCTTATCGTTATCAGTTTTGTCCCAACACTCGGTCTTTGGCTGTGGACACTCGGTCTTTTTCAGTTCAATACAAATTTTGATGGTCAGATTTTGATCCGTATGATCTGGTTTTGTCGGACATTTTGGCTTAGCCATCCGATGGATGGTTGCTGTTGTGGTGTACCTCAGCGCGGTGACGACGACACTAAGGGTTAACCGAGGATGTACATGAATGGCCAGCCTATGGATGGTTGCTGTTGTGGTGTACCTCAGCGCGGTGACGATGACACTGAGGGTTAACAGAGGATGTGCAGTGAACAATGTTCTCTTTACTCCGCAGTCTTTTAACCAAGGGTTGTAATTTTGGCTGTACGTTTGGCAAACCTGCTCATGTTCCTAATGAGTTTTGATAACATTTTTCACCCAAGCGTTTGGGGGCGGGCTGATGAGAGCCACAAGGACACATCGCCTCTGGGGGCCGCCGAACTCCGAGATCCCCTGACAGCTCTGTTAATGCTCATTTGAGACATTATCCGTGGCGCACGACGAGGACGTGCTGTAGGGGTCTTGCGTGAGGTTCCGTACAACCAGGATAGTGAAGGACTGGAGCCCGAGTGACGTACGGAGTATCTCCTTATACACATCATGTTGGACTTAACTTCCCCTCACGCCTGTGACATAAATCATCGCACCACTGTCCTCTTAGTGAAATTTTGATTTCTTGCAGCTCTAGGCTGCACCTCCATGTCCATCAATCTTGACAGGGATATGGAGTCATGTCCTTTGGTAAGTGTAGCGCATAGCATTGATAAAATCACTTATGTCCAGTACTGGGCCAGGCATATCAACTGTAGTGTCAGCAAGTAGTCTGCACGCTCGTTCCCTTGAACACCCGAATGGCCTGGCACAAAGATGAAGGTTAGGGCAGATATTCGTGCAGTGCTTAGTGTTTCAATCCATTCTTGCCTGATAAATCCAGCTTGGATTTTTTAAAGCATAATAGCATAATCATCGAGTCACTACGAAAGCATACGTGTGTGAACTTTTGAGTACCAAGCCAAGCTAAAGCCCTTGTTACAGCCATAGTTTCCATTGTAAGGCTACTAGTTGTAACAGCAAAAGTGCCATTCATCTCCTTGATGGTTTCCCCCTTGAGCTTACTGTGAAGACCCATGCACTTCGCTTGCCCCTAATTACTGACCCATCTGTGTAAACTACAGCATCACCTTCATCTGTTGAGATGGTATTTTGGCTAAGGGACACCAGTAGCACACATATATCTTCTTGTAGGCAGTCAGCAGTCCGAAACCCAAGTTCAATGTGTCTCCTTCGTGCCCCCCCCCCCCCCCCAAAAAAAAAAAAAAAAAAAAAACCCCGCATGACTGTTGGGTGAACAGTCGTTAACTAAGGCAGTCAGGTCGTTTTAGGGGCGACGCTTGCGGGTAAATGCAATGTCCTAAATCCCTTCCCCAGATAATAGTGAGGGTACTTACTGCTGGTGTGACCGTTTATTAATCCCTCACATAATGCTTCAAGTACAAATGGACGCTAGGCAGGGCCACTGTGTTGAGCCGTGGAAATTTTTTTTTTGCTTTTGCCATACGGTGGCCGTTGCATTTTTGTTCCACTTGGAGACTGGGAGGATTTGGTTACGATCCACAGCTTCTGAGTTGAGTGCTGCGGATTTCATTTGCAATGTTTTTCTACCATGACCAACGTGGTGGTGTGAATGTAGATACAGAAAATAAAGCAATGCCGGTTGTCACAATATTGGTGGTGTCATTATGTGATTATGGCAAACTACTAGACGTAAATTTGCCTAGAAAAACCACACAACAGCCAGGCGCTGTTGGGGTTGGTTCTGCAACGTCCTGTAAAGGATACGCAACTAACCGTTATGTGATTAAAATTGATCGCGCGTGCAACTGCTGATCTGTTGGTAACTTCTGTTAGTCACTAGTGCTACAATTTATGATGAACTGTATTTCTTATGTCGGACTGTTTGTGTTAGCACTTCGGATGTCTACCGTATGCTTTTAATGTGTGTGTATGCTAGTGCATATACTGAGACAGCAGTCTGTCAATCTCTCCACAAGGGACTGTGATAAACATTCTGTTTGTTTTTCGTTGGTACAGGAGCGGAGCCACTATGGCGTGACCTGTTTGCTATGAAGCTGAAACTTAGGTCACCAGATTACCTGACAGAAAACTTAATAACCTCAACCCAAAGAAATAGTGACAATCACAACCTGCATCTTAACATAGCAAAATCAAAGATAATACATACAGATACTGTAGAGAAAGAAATATATGGTAATGAAGAGAAAATGGAAGTTGTAGTCAATTTTGAATATCTGGGGTCATTGATTATTAACAATAGTGACACAATGAAAGAAACTAAACGACAACTTCAAGTGCGCTTCAAAGACTAAAACAAACAAATACATTATATAGGGGAACAGACAGAACTACAAAAATTAGATTCTAAGAGGATGCATCTTTCCCATTGCAACATACGCCTATGAGACCTGGACACTTACAAAACAAGCTGAAAATCGCATAAATGCATTTGAATACAAATGTTATAAACAAGTTCTAAAAATATCATAGGTGAAGAAAAGAACAAATGCATCCATACTTCAAGTACTACATATTGAAGAAGGTCGGCTATTAAATAAGGTGAAACACAGAATTAAATATTTTGGTTATTTGAAACATGAAAGTTTAGAAAGAACAATAATGGAGGGGTATATGCCTGGGAAGAGAAGAAGAGGAAGGCCAAAGAAAAGATGGGAGCAGGATGTGGCGGATGCTCTCCAGATGGGTGTATCGGACGCGGGGCATTTTGCTTGTGATCGAGAAGTTTTTCCAGAGGGTTGTTTTGGGAGCCAGGTTCTGCAAACGGGATGGTCAGCTATGTGCAGATTTTGGTTATGAACAGACAACTGTATTCCTACTTTATTTATTGCTTTAAAAAAAATAATAGAGTGTTTACAAATGTTTGTTGTTGTTGATTGTTTGGTTTCAAATGCTTTTTAGTGTAAATTTTATGAACCAACCAAGGACTCGAATGTAACCTATCATATCGATGTCTTACTTTTTTTTTGGTTGAGAAGGAGATTGGGTCATGCTGTGACCACTAGAAAGACAAGTGGGGAGGGGGGGGGGGATATTTTTTCACAATGGAGCATGGGCACCCACACTAAGATAGGCGTCCGTTGATATGTATCGTTGCTCATTACTTTTTCTTTTAAATGATCTATGAGACAGGGTACAGGAGCACAGTGACCAATCTCCCGGTAACATTTCAAAGGCGATCTCCGTCATTGATGCAGTCACGTGACCCTCATGTACTCTCTATTGAGGCTTTCTCTAATTTTCTTATGTTACTGAATTAATCAGTCACCAATAGATCAAATTTTTCAAATATTTATATTTAATAATTGTATTATTATACAAGTAAAAAAAAGGACATTAAAGCGTATTTCGTTAATAAACATCAAAGTTACTGTTGAAATTGAGGCTGGTAGCGTTCACGTGACCAGTGACGTAACGGCCCACAGCGTGCAGAGCAGACATCTTGGAGAAAGAACGTTGAGAAGTCGACAAACAGTTGTATCAAATAATTTGTAGCAGCAACATGGACGGGTGAGCATTTACAACACTTTATCTCTTCTCTGATTTGTTTAATATGACTTTTGTAACTATAATACACGTAGATATCTTAATATGAACGTAATTTTAACGATTTAATTTTGAAATAAAGCCATCTCTAGTCCTTGGGGAATTTTGAAGCATTCGACAGACTGAGACATCTTTAAAATTATGTCTGTCTTCTGTTTAGTTGGTAGCTTGCATTTGATATAATTGAATAGAACAGCGTAATCTAATCATTCTTACGCTCAGTTTAGAGAAGAAAGGGATATTTGTAGAATAATTTGAGATATTTAATTTCAAATGACAAGTCTGGACATGTTTCACATTCCGCCATGACTCGGGATGCTCGTTGCTGTGTCATTAAGATGTTGTGTTACTGTTACTAAAACTATTAATCGGTGAGTTAACTTTTATTATCTTTTCTCCTCAGAGATTATTATTCACCCTCTGGAACTAAGGTAAGACGATTTATTAAAAGACTTAAGTCCTCGTTTGTTTGAATGAATGATGTAAATTAAACGGTTTTAAAAAAAGCGTGGCACACGGCATGCTTTTTTTACAATTGAATAATTCGTTGATATTGTGAAACAAAATAACTTAATTAATAGTAGTGGGAAGTAAGACTTTAAAACTTAAAATTGTGGATGTATCTCATCACAGAATTTGCCAGATTGGACTGGTTTCAGGAAAAATGGAAGGGATTTGCGAACTGACAAAAAAAAAAAAACTGGTCGCGGTATAAACCGAAAAAACCAAGTCTTGGGGGGAAGTAACAGCATTTAAATTTTTTTTTCTTCTGACGGCTGGTCCCAAATTTGCCTGTACACGCATTCTTATGAAACTTGCGAGATGCTGTTTCTGTGTATATACACTTAAATGCCAGCTAAAACATTTGTCTGCAGAGTTAAGGAAAAGACGGGAAATAAGGAGTTCAAGGTAGGGAAATTTGAAGCTAGGTAGACAGCGATACTAAAGAGATGTATGTGCACAACATGGATATTCAACTAAATGGCGTAAGATTTTGAAAATAGTCTGATGCTAGGGTGGCACTTTATGGATTGATAAAAACGCTGCTAACACAACATGCAGTGCACCTTTTGTCCTACAGTTTATTACGTAAGTTTTATCTTGTAATCGCTAGCGACTGTGGCTAAGGCATTGTGAATGTGCTCCGCAATGCTGGGTTCGTTCCTAGATGCGTGCCTTGGGGTTGGTTTAGACAGTACTGTGGATCTGGCCTTAGGTAGCCACATTGCAAGAGAAGCTATGGGGGACCGGTGGCGACCTTAAACGCACAAATATATTTGTAACCCAGACTGGAATCAATGTTTAGCATGACTGATGTCGAACGCAGAAGAAGGTTTAGTCAGTGGTATCGAGAACTGACTGTTCAGAAAGCAGTTGCAAACTATTATACGTAAATTTGTTAAAACCACAACAGCCAAAAAATGCTGGGGTTGGTTCTGTAAAGGACATGCAACAAACATCTTGTTTGTAGAGATGTGATGTATTAAATCAGCATTTATCGTTTAATTTCAGCGTGGCAATGACGATGGCATGCAGGTTAATGATGGTATGGGAGATTCAAATGATGCTAAGAAGGTGAGTTTGTCTGTTTCTGTTCACTATTAATTTTTCCGTCTTTCATTTCAATGCAATTTTTCTTATTTGTTCAATTAGTTGACACTTTGACGACACATTTTGCGCTGTAATTGCTTTACCAGTCTTGCTGACTAAAACTGCTGGGTGAGTGGCCCTGGCTTGTCGTAATTAGTCTTTCCTTAGAGTTAAATCAGTTAATTTTAAATATCTTACTGTTTTTAAATATTTCAAGCATGTAACTAATAAAAGAATTTCTAACATTTCTAGGCAAAGTTTGACAATCAGGCTAATGGACCTTCACGAGTGGTTCATGTACGCAGCTTGCCCAATGATGCAGGCGAGACAGATGTTGTCCAGCTTGGCCTGCCTTTCGGTAAAATGACCAACGTCCTGCTGCTCAAACAAAAGAATCAGGTAAATGGAAAATTGACATACAGGAATGTATGAATTCTTTGTACATTTTTTAGTTTTTGTGTGTGTAAAACTTGTACATACCTGGTAAATTGTGGCACAGATCTTGTGTGGAACTTGCGCTGCTAAACAAAGACCTCGCAGTTTACCTGTCATTGCTGAGATCAAGGCTTGTTGGATGTATTTATAGGTACATGTACATGTGACACCAAACTGCTGGTGCTAATGATGAACTCACTGTGTCATCTAAATTTGAAATAGTCTGATATACACTTCTAGTGTCTGAGGCATCCAGTTGTGTGTATATCTATTTACATATTATCTTTGTTTGCTGAGTTTATATTTAGTAATTGCATCTCTTACATGTTGTGTAAATAAAAAAAAAAAATCATTTGGCATTTATGTTTGTCTTGTGTTTGGGAAGCTGATGTTTTGACTTTCTGTGTTTACAGGCATTCTTGGAGTTTGAGGACGAGACCAGTGCCATCAACATGGTGTCCTACTTCAAAACCAACCCAGCCCAAGTGCGTCTCAAGTCTTGCTATGTCCAGTTCTCCAACCACAAGCAACTCAAAACTGATAGTTCCAATTCACTGGTGGGTTGTTTGACTGTTGACATAAGATCAGATAGTCAACAATTGTGCAGTTAAACACTGACCCATTAGCATTTAAAGAGCAAAAGTTACTAGATGCGTTTAATCCTTGTATTATTAATTTTTAGGTTGGATTCCACTACCTAGAAATATCTAATACCAAGACCTCTTAGTATTTCTTTCATGCTCCCATTCTGGAGCTAACATATTCAAGTCATTTAACAATATAGTCTGCTTGTTGGTGCTGATGATGAACTCAACTGTGTCATCTAAATTTGAAACACAATGATATACATCTCTAGTGTCTGAGGCATCAGTTTAATCAGCTCTTGGATACAGCTGGTGAATTTTTAAAAAACATCAGATACCTTTGGTATTAAGTAAAAGTTTCACTAAAAAAGTCTCTGTAAATCATTAGTCTTGCATCTTTTGCTTTAAAAAAAAAATATGTGGTCAATCAGAAGTTTTTCAAGTGATGGAAGCCTAATGATAGTTGATGGGAAGATGCGAAGGTCTGTAACGTTTTCTCCTGTCTTTGAAATGAGATGACAGTTGCGTTATTTGGCAGTAGCAAGGAGTGCTGGTTGTCCAGAGAACAGTGGGGAAACTACAGTGTACAATTGTAAACAAACATTCAACACATGCTACACTTGGTTTGACACATCATGTAATTTGAAATATTCTGATGAGGCTGTAAAAATAAATCTGTCACACTGCTTGTGCCCAAAAGTGTCAGTTTTTTTATAGCATATCATCCTTGAAGAAATCGTACGACAAAAAGTCAAGTGAAAAATTGCAGACTGCTGCATTAGCCATGATGTTGACAGTTACTTTATAAGGGATGTCTCTTTTAAATGCGGATTTCATATATGCCTAATGTGTGAACAACCAGCAGTCTGCATACACATTTCTCTCTGTAAAACTCTAGCCCTGGATCAAGACCAGTGTTAAGTGGATGAACAGCTAGAAATGTCTTCTAGCTCCTGAACACTTCAGGAGCAGCACACAACACTTACAACAGTCTAGGGTGTGTTTGTGATCTGTAACAGAATGCTATTGTAGCAGCTGCCAGATTGAATTGTTTTTCTAAAATTGTTTTGTTTGCAGAACTCAGGTGTGCAGTTTGCCCTGCAAGCAGCACAAGGTCTGCTTGGAGCTGGAGGAGGAGGGGGAGGACATGGAGGCGAACGAACAGTCCTCAGAATCATCGTGGACAATGTGTTGTACCCAGTCACCTTGGAAGTCTTGCATCAGGTACATATTTTAAGTCTCACCAGAGGCAGTGTCTATAACAGTTTTGTCATTGTTTTCTTATATTAGAGTTGTAAAGCTTCTTGTTTTTTCTCTCTTAAACTTTTTATTAAGCAAAGGATTAGATTATTCATGCTAGTTGTATCAATTACATTTTATACACAATGTTAAGTTTTAGTGTTTGTTTTATGTCCTTGCATTTAACATTTTCTGTTAAATGTTGAAGTGTATTACATCTGTTTTAGCATTTCTACCAGTAGTTGTGTAGTCTGTTTAGATTAATGCTGATTATTGCAGTTAAACTCACATAGTTCTGAAATGGCTGTTTGTTTCAGCTGTTCTCCAGATTTGGAAAGATCATGAAGATTATTACCTTCACCAAGAATAGTGAGTACCTTTATATTTGTCACACATGTCAGTCATTTGTCAGTCATTAACTAAATTAGATTTAAAAACTAGATTGATCTAGGAAGTCATATTTAATTTCATACAGGAAGATATTTAATATATAATAAAATCAGAAGGTATATATCAGATGTTTTACTTTCATTTACTTATCTTTTATCCTGATTGAGATGATCTTTTATCCTGATTGAGATGTTAATTTTGACAAGTGTTCTAAATTTTATCCTTTTCTTCGTTTTCAGACACATACCAGGCGCTTCTTCAGTTTTCAGACCCAGTATCTGCTGCAGCTGCTAAAGATGTGAGTTGGTTGTCAATTATTGAGGTGGTGATCATTTTACAATGTTCACTATCTAAGAGATTTCGTTGTGCTAGAGTAACTAGTTACATCTAAAAGATAGTGTATTGGGCAATCTTAGCAGATAAAAGGATATTTCTGACCATTCATGATGTAACATGACCCTTATTGAGTGATGTCTATAGGCAAGGCTTTTGCTTTGAATAAATGCCCTATAGTAGAGTAGAATGAAGTGAGAAATAGGACAACCAGAGAAACTGAGGAAATGAGACGAAGCAAATAACACAAATGTTTATGGGACCATGAACAGAAGATTGGCAATGATGTGATTACTTGTGTGAATGCTGTGTGGCAGCAGCAACATAAAGACCTAACAGAAGATTGGCAATGATGTGATTACTTGTGGGAATGCTGTGTCTGGCAGCAGCAACATAAAGACCTAGCAGAAGATTGGCAATGATGTGATTACAAGTGTGAATGCTGTGTGTGGCAGCAGCAACATAAAGACCTAACAGAAGAAAAATATTACTGTTTTTTCACTTTTTTCTTCAAAACTGGATTTAGCTGCAAATTGTGTGATTTATTTACTGATAGATTTACTATTCGTGTTTCCGCATAGGCATAGTTCCTTTGAATTTAGATTGCAACTGTCTGAGAAGCAAAAAAGCAGTACACAAGCCAGATATGCAAAACTGGAATAGGAACAATCGTGAAGCAGACAGCAAACTACGACTTGTAACTGAATTATTTTGCATTAAAACATGGCTCTTTATATATAACATCTTGACGTCATTTTCATTACAGTCTCTGGACAACCAGAACATCTACAACGGCTGTAACACTCTAAAAATTGACTATTCCAAGCTGACTAACCTCAATGTCAAATACAACAATGATAAGAGCAGGGACTTCACCAGGCCTGACTTGCCTTCTGGCGATAACGGAATGGACAATGGTTGGTATTTTGCAAGCTTGCTTCAGGTTCTTATATTTACATGATAGATGGAGGGTGTAGCCCTCGACAACTGATCACTTTATGTACTGAAGTAAGGTTAAGCAGCCGTGTAAAACATTATTCCTTTGAACTCAGGATCCGCACGTTGTGTGGCCTCTGCATGATCGGCACCTGCATTGACTGGTCCACATAAGGTTGCCCTAAATGGGTTTTCCAAGGACAACACCTATAGATAAATGGATAGGGAGGATACCAAACAGACGCATGGTGTGTCCTATAAAACTTATGGAATTTAACTTGACTGAGTTGGTTTGAAGAGGCAAACTTCACAGCTTTGCGGTAAACGGGCACATGCAATTACCCCACCAGGACGAACAAAAGTTAAATCTGGTGTTAAATGTACTGATTGTTTTGTTTTGGAGGGATGTAAGTTCAAACATTTTTGACACATGTTGTGTAGATCTGTTTCTGACAAATGGTGCTGACTTTTTTTCAATTTCTGTCTCTCAGATATGGGGATGGGAATGGGAGCTGGCATATTGGGCTCAGGTGAGTTTACACTTGTCTATGTTCATCTCACATTGACATTTTTTACTCACATTAGAATTTTCATCTCATATTCACATTGGAATTGTATCCAAGTTTATCACAGAACTGAGAATCCATGTGTTTAATTTCACAGGGGGGGGGGGGGGGGGGGGATGAGTTGTGGGTCTGGAAGTACTAGTAGTACGGAAAGGGGCGCAGCACACCATTTAGGCAGGTAAAAACTACAGGTATGATAAGATTAATTATAGGTTTAATGCCATCAGTTAGGCAGAAATACTAAGTGATGAACAGCAAAATGTTCTAATGATTCTTTTATGAGTGCACTTGGCATTTTTGCACACTTTAAAGTAAATATTGGACACTGTTAATTATGTTTATTTCATTTCAGGTGCTAATGCATTGGGTCTGGGCCTTGGTGGCTTCAACTTTAATGGAAATCAGCTGGGTAACCGCATGGGAGGCGGCATGGGCAACATGGGAGGCATGGGTGGTGGCATGAACCAAGGAGGGGGCGGTGGCTCTGGCACACCCTGTATCCTGGTGTCTAACCTGGACGAGGATGTAAGCTATTTGTTGTGACTTCTGTTTGTTTGTGTAAAATAAAAGTCCTCCTGTAGACAGTCTCACCCGTGTGCCCGCTCTGATTCTGGCTTTGTTTTATACACAATGTTGTAGGCTTTGGCAAGGGTACCACAGCTGTTAGTCTGCAGTTGAACTGTATATAGGGGAAGCTATGAAGCTATATTTTTATAGGGAGTATGGCATACATTGTATACTTTATAGTTATGTGATATCTGTTGTTGATAGATATGATGCAGTAACCATATGACATATATATTATTTATTTGTATTAGTTAGAATATTATGGTTAATGAAATGATCATGACTAAACATTACATGGAAAGCATAATTTGTAGATTTTACAGTGTCAGGTTGTGGTAGTTTGAAATGGTGTAGAGGGAGGGGAGGCATGCACTATCAAAAACAGTAATTGCCTATAGCAAGATTATTGCATCTGCTGTCCACCAGGCAAGGAACAAATCTTTTCTAGACCACTTAGTATATAAGTGAATACTCAGAAATATGAACTAGGGCCAAGATTGCATATCACAGATTTGTTAAATTCCTAATGTTTAACCTACTGTTTTCTTCCATTACAGCAATCATTGTTTATTTTTTTCTTTTTGCTTGTCTTTTCATCTCACCCTGATATGAACCCGACCTGTCCGATGTGCCGCTGGACTTTTGTTGTCTGATCTGATCGCCTGACCACCCGCTGCTGCTGTTGCTGCTGCTTACCTGAACTGAACTCTGACCTACAAATTTACTTTGTCATGTCTGCCTTGTCTAAACAATCAAACATGGGTAACCACATTGAATGCCTTGTGTTAAACCCTGTAGAAAGTCACTCCAGATGCTTTGTTTCAACTGTTTGGTACGTTAGTTCTTCCATTTTCTTAACTTAGTTATTGGTTATTTTACTGATTTTGTTTTACTAATGAGTTTATAAGTTCTACATAATTCAGATATCGAAAACAAGAACGTTACTTTACATCTTAACTTCATGATGGCATCTGTGAGTTGCTCACATTCTGCCCTCTTATCTGCACAGGCTACTCCATTATTTTTCCATTAACTTCTCCCATCTTGTTACAGCGCTGTCCTAAGCTTCATTTCTCTAAGCTATACTAGTAGAACATGCAGTTGCTTTTATGATTAAACAACTTTTTTCTTTCTGTTACTACTTTAGAACCTTACATTAATCTGTTCTGCCATGACCTGTAATTACTCCTATAACAGTCCTGACTTCTGTACTTTGGATTTCAGCCATTCTTGTTCAGAATTGATACGGAGTCTTTGCATGTAACAAAAAATAAGTATTAAAAGGCAGTATATAATATAAAATACATTCAAGTTGAGAGAGATTGTTGTTAAGTCGTCCATCTCTGGAGGAAAAAAACATGTTTTCCCGGTCTCTGGCGATTGAAGCAAGTGCCCCAATAAGTTATGGATATGGTCGCACTGGGATCACATAAGGTTGAAAAGGCTCTTGTCTATGAAATAAAATTGCGTTCTGTGGTCCTACTCAGGGCCAGTGTGTGAATACCTATTTCTACTAATCATATATATTCTATACCATTTTGTTTTTTCCTGTTTGTATATTTTTGTTTGGAATATAAAACTGTTCATTTCCTGAATGACAAATTTTACCTAGTGTTTGTCTTTGTATATTCTAACTAGCTAGCTAAAATATAATCAGAGGTAGTGGACAATCACTACAGCTGTGAAGAAGATAGCAGAGAGTTTCTACAAGAAAGTCTGATTCACAGTTGCTACTTGAAGGTTTAAAATAGAAACATGTGGTTACCAAGTGGATCTCATTTACATGTCAATATACAAGACAAGCAAATGTGATCAGGCACACAAGGAGCACTTATACTGTAACAGTATAGTCAGTTATTGACCAAATAGGAGAGAGATGGAGCATCTCGCAGTATACCCAGTGTGTAACAAGATTGCTTATTTAATCAGTAAGCATTTCTGTCATTCGTTACTGAAAGTATGTGCTAAACGGTAACCCACACTATGCATGTAAACATACCTGTATGACAGTGTCTGTTACTAGTGCTCCTGACACACAACTTAGTTGTTATGATAGTAAGAAATGGTAGATTTAAGAAGTTTAGTACTTATAGCATCAACTGGTGTCGTTTATAATCATGTATAAATAGATGTATCTGTTGTTTAATGCAGTTGATGAGAGTGATTTAGATGAATGTTATTGATTTCCCAGGTGTTTATGGTAACGTGCACAGGGTAAAGATCCTCTTCAACAAAAAAGACAATGCACTGATACAGATGGCAGATCCATCTCAAGCTCAACAAGGTAGGTTTATGTGTGCTGTCAGTTTCAGCTGTACCAGTGTTTTCTACATCTGCTAGAGGGGTGCCATTACGTAGTCCTAGTCTTGGGGGATATTTCTCTGTATGGTGGGCTGTATAGTCTTGGGATATTTCTCTGTATGCTGGGCTGTATAGTCTTGGGATATTTCTCTGTATGCTGGGCTGTATAGTCTTGGGATATTTCTCTGTATGCTGGGCTGTATAGTCTTGGGATATTTGCCTGTATGCTTTGCTGTATAGTCTTGGGATATTTGCCTGTATGCTGGGCTGTAGAGACATAACTCTATAATAGGTTGGATGTGAAACAATTTCACTAGTGTATATATAAATGTTGGAAAATCCAGTATACATGGTGGACGCCTGGTTTTTGATCAACACATTTGTACACACCAGCACTAGTCCACGGGCTGGCTGGCGGGTCAAGAGGACTGAGCTATGCTTACTGGAATCATTATCATTGAGCTAGAACATTCTAGTTAAATAAATATATAGTTTTCTTTCTATATGCTGTGTCATTTTCTCTTCAGCCATCACATACTTGGACAAGGCTCGCTTGTGGGGAAAACAATTGAGAGTGGCCCCATCTAAACATCAGCTGATCCAGATGCCCAAGGACGGACAGTCGGTGTGTATTTGATGTTGTGTTCAGTAGTTTTGTGTCATGCATCGTCGTGTGTAGCGTGTGGTACTCAGCTCCCCCTTCCCCCACATCTATGCAGAGCAACCTTGGGTAGCTACTGCTAAACTGGTTATGGCTTTTAAAGATACTTGCCATAAATATGTTTGACTGCAGCTACTGTTGTTGCTTGTACAGGTACGTTTGTATACTGTCTGACACTGCAAGCTCAACTATAGTCACCACAATGTGCATATCAGACGAGCAAAGTATGCAGAGCAAGCTATGCAGTAACCATGAATGACCTGTAGCTTTTAGAAGTGACACATCTGATGGTCTGACCTGAGCATATAAAACAGACTGTAAAGAAGAAATTAACATTTAATGTGTGCAGAAACTTTAATGTATTGTTTGTGACTCCACAGGATGCTGGTCTCACTAAGGACTACGTCAACTCACACCACCACAGATTTAAGAGGGCCGCTTCCAAGAACTACATATTCCCTCCTACTTCAGTCCTCCACTTGTACAACGTGTAAGTGGCGCTGGTGATATTCCTTGCTTTCTTCCTTAGCATGTTCCATACCCGTTAGTCTCGTTAACACGCAAGATAGAAATATATAAAGCTTAGAGCACACAATTATGTTTAGCAAGGTATGTACACACAGCGTACTCTTCCACAGAGTGACGGCTAGCAAGAGATGTTGCTCGACTAGGCTTAAGGACACCTTTTTGTTTTAGGGCTGAATGTAGCAGTATTTTTAACTTGACAGATGTTTTGAAGAAGAGATGTCATTTAATGGAATGTTCGGCTAGCCGACTTTCACCCATGTTCCAAATTGGCTTTGGAGGTGGACAGACCGAACACTACATCTCTAGTGCCTAAGGATCCATAAAACCATCCCAGAGTTGACTGGCACCCAAGATGATGTAGGGGGAAACTTTCTACTGTGGTTGTGATTTGCTATCACAGTTCCCCTATGTGGATTTTGGGACCTCAATGTGGGGAAAACAAAAATAGACCACACTGCCTATCCAAAAACATGTCATAAGAGTCGACTAATTAGGTTTCTTAAAAATCTTTGCATCTTAGTTGCAAGGAACCAGTAGTCTACATCAGATCTGAAAAAAAGATGCACACGCAAAACTTTTGGAACATCAATGCAGTCCAGAAGTGGATGAACTGCCAAAACTTTCTGCCAGAGTTGACAGTTGGTGAATGCGAAGAAGAAGATATCACAGTGCCACAGATTTTAAACAAATTTCTTACTGATGTGTAAACATTGCTTTTATTGGTTTCAGTCATGAGATCTTGTTTCATTAAAAGAAAGGATAAATGTTGTAGAGATACAAATCTATACTGTGAAGTAATTGTTGCAAACATTTGATATTCTACAGATCTACCTTAGAGGAAGATGACATCCGTAGTCTGTTCTCCCAGTATGGAACAGTGAAGGCCTTTAAATTCTTCAAGTGAGTATTGCTGCTGACATTAAATGAGCTCTTGTCTCAGCTAGACTCAGGGGGCATAGAAAACCAGTCATGTCTATGATTCATGTGCTAGACTCCGGGGCATAGAAAACAAGGGAGGTCTATGATACATGTGCTTGACCCTGGGGCATAGAAAACAAGGGATGTCTATGATACATGTGCTAGACTTGGGGGCATAGAAAACAAAGGGTGTCTATGATACATGTGCTAGACTCAGGGGGCATAGAAAACAAGGGGTGTCTATGATATATGTGCTAGACTCCGGGGCATAGAAAATGAGATGTCTATAGCTAGTTGCCGAGTGGGCAGACTAGGAAACGTGGATGTAAAACGTGCAAGAATTAGGAATGCCTAGAGTGCTACATAAGTTGCCTACCTCAACACTGCTGACCAACTTCCATGGTCGTTGAATTTATGGCAGCCCTAGCGATAGTTTACCAATTAAGCTTCATTAAGGCGTTATATTATTCCAAAATTGTTGCACTACAATCGAATTTGTTTTGAGCTGCTTCAAGCCAGTCATTTTGGGAAAAGGTTCCCAACACTCCTAGTACTAGAGGATAGAAATGCCCCAGATTGCTGCCAGCAAAGAATAAATGGATTATTAGGGATTGTTTGCATGTGCGTGTGAGCTTATCTGACCTTGTTTGTATCCACAGCAATGACAGGAAGATGGCTCTGCTGGAGATGTCTTCTGTTGAGGAAGCAACTCTGGCTCTCATGGTGAGTACAGTGCATTTGCTGTTCTCGTGATATCTCTCTCTGTATCTGTATGTGTATACATATATAAACACATACACGCACATACGGTAATTTTTGCCTGTGGAAATGTAGTTACTGGGACAGTAATGAACATAAATGCAGAGTAGTGATTTTAGTTGTATCAGTGCACCTATAAGATGTCATTGGTTACCTTTAGAAGTGTTCATGGATGACAGCTGCCTAATGACACAATGTTCCTTGTACCTGAAAGGTATAAACTTGTGTGTTTATGTACTGGCATGACTAAAGCCATTGCTACTGACGCTGCTGGCTGAGAGTGATATAGTTACATCACTGGCCCTGGTAGAGTGAAACTAGTGACTGATGGAACCACTGGAGAAGCAGATCTGGTAAGACCTGGGTATTTTATTTCCATTGAATAAAATGACCAGAGATGTCATTTTGTTTTTTCAGGGTCTGCACAATTACCAGGTGGAGGACAATCTCCATATGAGGGTCTCCTTTTCCAGGTCCACCATCTAAACCTTGTCAGCCAGTGAAATCTTCGTCATCATCATGGATTCGGCGGTAGCAGCATTCATCCATTGTTCACTTTTATATGACAGCAGTCACATTGTCCATCCACCATTGCCATTCATAACATAAACTCTCACCCAGCCAGCTCTGTTTTAATCTGTATTCAGTTGTCATTAGTCGTGTTCCTTTACCTGCCAGACTTTTCTTGTTTCTGTGCGAGTTTCTCCAGATTAATTTACAGATGAGAATGAGGCTGTCATCACCAAGACATCATTTTAGTTTCAGGAGTGTTGTCAGAATAATATCTGTATTCATTTTCTCTCACATTTTTTTAAAGCCCTAGGCCAAATCTTTTGTTAATACCTCTTCTAGTTGACACACTGTTGTACATTGCCTTCAATTTTATTTCTAATCCACAATCCGACTCCGCAGGAGTTGGTCACATCAGTCACTTGTTTTAGCTAGCTGTTTTAATTGTTCTCTGCATTTGTGGTCATGAATTGAATAAATATTTTGTTGGAAAGTATATTGTTTTGTATCTGATGAATATGTACTAGTGAAGGAAGTTGTATGGGACGATTTTGATATTGTGGACAAGAGAATGACAGTGAAGGGAGTTCTGGTGGTGAAATCAAGCACAATTAAGACATTATTGTATTAGGACAGTTTAACACAGGGAAAGACCAAACGGTTGATACTGTATTATTGTCTGCAGCAGATATTTGGTGCTCCGTAGCACACATTTCTGGACATGTGAAATTCTGACCAAGAAATCAGGACTTCTATTCTTTTGGTGACACTGGCAGGAGCCATCGATCCTGTTAGTTCACCCAAGTTTTCAGTCAGTATCTTACTTGATAACATGCGTCTACAGAACTGATCGCTTATAACCCAATTAGTGCCGGTCTCGCTGAAGGTTGGATGCAATGGATCTTTAGCACACACAGTATTTGTCCTGGTTGTACTCTTGTGCTGATCGTCCACTTATTTACGTCTCTTCCCCCCTCTTTAATTTTCAATTTCTTGCTGCCCTCACTGTGTTTGTCTTATTCAAACGCTATAACTGTTTGGGCGGGATTGTAAATAGAGCAGAACATCTGATATCATTTGTGCTAAGACTACTTGTGATTATTTCCCTTGGTCTGAGAAGTTCCAAGTTGCAAATCTTGGTATAACTTCTCGTCACTGTGAGACAAGGTTCTGGCCTGTATTGCTAGTAGGCTGGCTTGACGACCTTTGTCAAATGACTTTCGATACGTTCGCGAGGAACAAAATCAGTTGTTGTGTATCTTTTACTGCAGGCGTGTCAAAAGGACGTCTTTTGCAACCACACATGTTCAGTCAACACAGGGATGTGTGCTCTTCCCCCACACTTAACATCCAAATAGACAGAATATCTAAAGAAGCAATTTCTGATAGAGACAACATAGACCTTTATAATCACGAGGAAGTACACAGATCAGAAGTTATGGATACACCCACATTAAATGAACTACTATTTGCTGACGACCAGTGCTTGTTCTACCCTGAAGAATATAGACTGTAAGACCACATTAACAGTTGAACATAGTATGCAGTAAATAAAACATGAAGATAAATGTAAACAAAACTGAAACAATGCAAGTTCATAGAATCTGTACCCCACTACACATACATGTTGATGGTTCTGCTCTGAATCAAGTTAGGGAGTTTAAAAGTATAACAGAAGATTGTAGAATTGTCACAGAACTAGAAACCAGATGTCAGAAAGCAAGTGCACTTATATACCAATTGTCACCATTATTTAGACATCCAAGCATAACTAAGTGCAAAGAGAAAGATTAATAACATTAATTCAAACATTAAGCTACCAGTGCCAAACATGGACACTAGAGCCCATATACGCAAAATCACCACCTGCGAGATGTCTGAGAAAACAACCAACCTAACCATACATGTGTGAATAATGAAACCAAAGCAAATAATGAAATGGTTTGGTCACCAAATAAGAATGGAACCAACGATGCCAGCATCAAGAGCATACAACATGAAAATCGAAACACCAAGAGGCAGGGGAAGACCAAAAAGAAGATGGAACGGACAACTTGAGACTTCATAACATCACGGCATATGAAGCGACTGAGTGCGCCCTGGCTTGGTTGCCGATCATCTGATAGACTGCGACGCCTAGCGGCACAAGCAGATTTTGACAAAAGAAGAAGAATGAAACCATCAGGCAAATTGTGGGAACAACACCTAGTACTAGATTCATCGAAAAACTGCAGATCAAGTGGTTTGGCCATCTTGTTAGACTGCTGCAAGATCAAATACCATCACAAGCACTACATCCCAGAAGATCAGCTACAAGAGCAAGAGGACCGCCACGGAAAAAATGAATTGACAACATTAAAGACACTTTACGGCATGACAATAGCCAGTGGCAGCCAACGTGTACTGGATCGCAAATTCTTTCTCCCCACAACGCTTAACGTCAAAAGTGGTTTATTATGATGATGACTGCAAATGTTTTAATTCAAGTACTTACTCGTTTATGTCCCTCTTGACAAAACAAATATGATCGATTGGCGGAGCTTGTGATTTTACTAAACAATTTATCGTTTCCAATTGTCCCCTATCGGTCGACTGTCGATACTATTGTCGACTTTAAAGGGCCAGCAATCTTAGAGCCTACAGATGTCTTGGTCTACATGGGGTAGCCGCGAAGATCATCAACCACCGAATTACGATTTACCTACACACATATGTATCCAGTTCTTGCGGGTAAATATTCTTTTCACGCACGTCCTTCACTATTTATATACAGCCGGACGTGGTTTGATGCACTTCCTTCTCTATTTATATACAGCCGGACGTGGTTTGATGCACGTCCTTCACTATTTATATACAGCCGGACGTGGTTTGATGCACGTCCTTCACTATTTATATACAGCCGGACGTGGTTTGATGCACGTCCTTCACTATTTATATACAGCCGGACGTGGTTTGATGCACGTCCTTCTCTATTTATATACAGCCGGACGTGGTTTGATGCACGTCCTTCTCAGTTATATACAGCCGGACGTGGTTTGATGCACGTCCTTCTCTATTTATATACAGCCGGACGTGGTTTGATGCACGTCCTTCTCTATTTATATACAGCCGGACGTGGTTTGATGCACGTCCTTCACTATTTATATACAGCCGGACGTGGTTTGATGCCGTCCTTCACTATTTATATACAGCCGGACTGGTTTGATGCACGTCCTTCACTATTTATATCAGCCGGACGTGGTTTGATGCACGTCCTTCACTATTTATATACAGCCGGACGTGGTTTGATGCACGTCCTTCAACTATTTTTATACAGCCGGACGTGGTTTGATGCACGTCCTTCACTATGTATATACAGCCGGACGTGGTTTGATGCACGTCCTTCACTATTTATATACAGGTCCGGACGTGGTTTGATGCACGTCCTTCACTATTTATATACAGCCAAGACGTGGTTTCTTGCACGGTCCTTCTCGTATTTATATACAGCCGGACGTGGTTTGATGCACGTCCTTCTCTATTTATATACAGCCGGACGTGGTTTGATGGTCCTTCACTATTTATATACAGCCGGACGTGGTTTGATGCAAGTCTTCGATTAGCCGCCCCAGTTAACTTCGAACTGTCAGAAGAACAGTTAAAAATATTTGTGATTTCGGTCCTTATGCCGCTCCTTACGGTGTCGTCCGATGCGGTGGTATCTCTGTATCACGGCCCGGCCCTATGTGTAACTGACACTTGTAGTGCCTCTAAAGCTTGCACAAGTTTCCTTACAAATTCAAACAGCATTTGTATACCTGGCTTTTCCAACATATCGTATCATCTACGTTGGGCGCCGGTTTCTCATTTTAGCATTCTTTGTCCAAAAGTTCTTGTTCAACCACATTTGGAATTTGGTCTTGTCTTTGCGTGCATATCTGTTTCACAATGGATTCATGTCCTATCAGACAGACGCACTGCGACCTTGAAGGACACACCCTAATTATTCGCCTTTCGACATTCTTTTTTGGGGTGCAGGTATTTATACTTCTCTCCCACCCTAAACACCACCACAACATTGAACAGGCGAGGGCAGTCGATATTTGTCAAACCTACCTTCTCATCTCGTGTGTTGAGCGTTCATTCTGTGAATGAACTACAAACAGGGGCATCACTCTGTAGGTTTATACCGATCTGTTTTGTCTTGGACACAGTCACCTGGGAGATATCGGTTGCAAACCGATTTTTATGGAGGCAGACAGTAAAAACCCGACTGCCTCAGTCTGCAAGAGACAAATCGCAGCGATCTATAAAGAGATCATTAAATGTGTAGGCAGTATCAAGTTTTGTATGTGTAGACTATGTGTCAGTACTTGAGTGGGTCCTCTGTGTCAATGATAATGTCATCAGTGAGTTAAGTAGGAAGCAACTTAAGCATTTTGGCATCATTAAAAGTAGTGTGGAATAAGAAGAAACAAGTTTAAAAAAAAAGGGAAATATAAATGTTCAGCTTTAAAATCTGCACTCTGTAACTGAAAAACAATAGTTATTCATTAACAATAAGGTGCAACATAGAAGACAAGGAATTGTCTGACTAGTCTGGTTTATATCTTGTTTGTTTGTTTTAGTATCCAGAAGCCATGAGTTGTTAACCGTTAGGCTCGGTATTATGGATATCGCAACCTTTCGGCCTTGATTCCATTGTAAATACCGTAAATCTGGGAGAAATGTGGCTTTTCTGCCTACCCCCGGGAGTGAACCCGGACCACATGGAGTTCGTCACCCGGTCACCGCGCAATCTGGTTTAGCCAACTACGCTAGAGAGCCGGGCTGGTTTAACGACAATCAGACACAGAACGGTTGACTGGCTGTTGCCTGTCCTCCTCATTAAGGGCAACAAATACTTGATGTGACGTACGACTATCTGCCACTCTGATTGGATCTGGTTGACTGTAAATATGATCGATTCCATCAACAACCAGGGGATAAGTGAAGTGGGTGTGTACGCTTGTAAACACGGAGCCTCGCTAGGCACATCTTTGGCTAATAGATGAATAAAGAAATTAAAAAATACTTAATCGAAATTGTTAATAACAATAATTATTTTACATTTACTATTGTAACTCTGTAATTACCTGTTAGAGAGACAATGTCGTTGTGTAACTGGAAAGAACCAAATGTAAAAAAAAAAAAAAAATAGAAATGAAAAAAAAAAAATCTAAACTATCGAAGGCTATTTTCTCCCAGAAGATAAATCGCTAAGTCGGATCCAGACTTGGATAGGACGGGGCAAGATGTCGACCCATACAAACGGTCTCTATGGCTGGCCACATTTATAACCAACTGAAAGAAGATCTAACACCATGTGGGGAATAACACCCGTCTACAAGACGGACTGTTACATTGCACAGAGTGCAGTCAGTGTGCAGCTGACTTTAAAGCAGTCATCTCTACATACTGAAGGCTGTAGCATTTGTAAAGTAAACTATTCTTTTTCTTGTTCTTCTTCTTCTTCTTCTTGTTCTTCTTCTTCTTCTTCTTCTTCTTCTTCTTCTTCTTTTTCTTCTTCTTCTTCTTCTTCTTCTTCTTCTTCTTCTTCTTCTTCTTCTTCTTCTTCTTCTTCTTCTTCTTCTTCTTCTTCTTCTTCTTCTTCTTCTTCTTCGTGTTCACCGGTTGTAAACTCCGGCTGTAACTTTTGGTTATTCGTCCATCTCTGGACTTTAGAAACAACAGCGAGACTATTCTTTGACACTGCAGCAGAAACAACAACAGCTAGTCTATTCTTTGACACTGCAGCAGAAACAACAACAGCGAGACTATTCTTTGACACTGCAGCAGAAACAACAACAGCTAGTCTATTCTTTGACACTGCAGCAGAAACAACAACAGCGAGACTATTCTATGACACTGCAGCAGAAACAACAACAGCTAGTCTATTCTTTGACACTGCAGCAGAAACAACAACAGCGAGACTATTCTTTGACACTGCAGCAGAAACAACAGCTAGTCTATTCTTTGACACTGCAGCAGAAACAACAACAGCTAGTCTATTCTTTGACACTGCAGCAGAAACAACAACAGCGAGACTATTCTATGACACTGCAGCAGAAACAACAACAGCTAGTCTATTCTATGACACTGCAGCAGAAACAACAACAGCTAGTCTATTCTATGACACTGCAGCAGAAACAACAACAGCGAGTCTATTCTATGACACTACAGCAGAAACAACAACAGCTAGTCTATTCTATGACACTGCAGCAGAAACAATAACAGCTAGTCTATTCTATGACACTGCAGCAGAAACAACAACAGCTAGTGTATTCTATGACACTGCAGCAGAAACAACAACAGCGAGTCTATTCTATGACACTACAGCAGAAACAACAACAGCTAGTCTATTCTATGACACTGCAGCAGAGACAATAACAGCTAGTGTATTCTATGACACTGCAGCAGAAACAATAACAACGAGACTATTCTATGACACTGCAGCAGAAACAACAACAGCAAGTCTATTCTTTGACACTGCAGCAGAAACAACAACAGCGAGACTATTCTTTGACACTGCAGCAGAAACAACAACAGCTAGTCTATTCTTTGACACTGCAGCAGAAACAACAACAGCGAGACTATTCTTTGACACTGCAGCAGAAACAACAACAGCTAGTCTATTCTATGACACTGCAGCAGAAACAATAACAGCTAGTCTATTCTATGACATTGCAGCAGAAACAACAACAGCTAGTGTATTCTATGACACTGCAGCAGAAACAACAACAGCGAGTCTATTCTATGACACTACAGCAGAAACAACAACAGCTAGTCTATTCTATGACACTGCAGCAGAAACAATAACAGCTAGTGTATTCTATGACACTGCAGCAGAAACAACAACAGCGAGACTATTCTATGACACTGCAGCAGAAACAACAACAGCGAGACTATTCTATGACACTGCAGCAGAAACAACAACAGCTAGTCTATTCTTTGACACTGCAGCAGAAACAACAACAGCGAGACTATTCTTTGACACTGCAGCAGAAACAACAACAGCTAGTCTATTCTTTGACACTGCAGCAGAAACAACAACAGCTAGTCTATTCTTTGACACTGCAGCAGAAACAACAACAGCGAGACTATTCTATGACACTGCAGCAGAAACAACAACAGCTAGTCTATTCTATGACACTGCAGCAGAAACAACAACAGCTAGTCTATTCTATGACACTGCAGCAGAAACAACAACAGCTAGTCTATTCTATGACACTGCAGCAGAAACAATAACAGCGAGTCTATTCTATGACACTGCAGCAGAAACAACAACAGCTAGTCTATTCTATGACACTGCAGCAGAAACAACAACAGCTAGTCTATTCTATGACACTGCAGCAGAAACAACAACAGCTAGTGTATTCTATGACACTGCAGCAGAAACAACAACAGCTAGTCTATTCTATGACACTGCAGCAGAAACAACAACAGCTAGTCTATTCTATGACACTGCAGCAGAAACAACAACAGCTAGTGTATTCTATGACACTGCAGCAGAAACAACAACAGCGAGTCTATTCTATGACACTACAGCAGAAACAACAACAGCTAGTCTATTCTATGACACTGCAGCAGAAACAATAACAGCTAGTGTATTCTATGACACTGCAGCAGAAACAACAACAGCGAGACTATTCTATGACACTGCAGCAGAAACAACAACAGCTAGTCTATTCTATGACACTGCAGCAGAAACAATAACAGCTAGTCTATTCTATGACACTGCAGCAGAAACAATAACAGCTAGTCTATTCTATGACACTGCAGCAGAAACAACAACAGCTAGTGTATTCTATGACACTGCAGCAGAAACAACAACAGCTAGTGTATTCTATGACACTGCAGCAGAAACAACAACAGCTAGTCTATTCTATGACATTGCAGCAGAAACAACAACAGCTAGTGTATTCTATGACACTGCAGCAGAAACAACAACAGCTAGTCTATTCTATGACATTGCAGCAGAAACAACAACAGCTAGTCTATTCTATGACATTGCAACAGAAACAACAACAGCGAGTCTATTCTATGACACTGCAGCAGAAACAACAACAGCGAGACTATTCTATGACACTACAGCAGAAACAACAACAGCTAGTCTATTCTATGACACTGCAGCAGAAACAACAACAGCTAGTCTATTCTATGACACTGCAGCAGAAACAACAACAGCTAGTCTATTCTATGACACTGCAGCAGAAACAACAACAGCTAGTCTATTCTATGACACTGCAGCAGAAACAACAGTTAGTCTATTCTATGACACTGCAGCAGAAACAACAACAGTTAGTCTATTCTATGACACTGCAGCAGAAACAACAACAGCTAGTCTATTCTATGACACTGCAGCAGAAACAACAACAGCAAGTCTATTCTATGACACTGCAGCAGAAACAACAACAGCTAGTCTATTCTATGACACTGCAGCAGAAACAACAGTTAGTCTATTCTATGACACTGCAGCAGAAACAACAACAGTTAGTCTATTCTATGACACTGCAGCAGAAACAACAACAGCGAGACTATTCTATGACACTGCAGCAGAAACAACAACAGTTAGTCTATTCTATGACACTGCAGCAGAAACAACAACAGCTAGTCTATTCTATGACACTGCAGCAGAAACAACAACAGCTAGTCTATTCTATGACACTGCAGCAGAAACAACAACAGCTAGTCTATTCTATGACACTGCAGCAGAAACAACAACAGCTAGTCTATTCTATGACACTGCAGCAGAAACAACAACAGCTAGACTATTCTATGACACTGCAGCAGAAACAACAACAGCTAGTCTATTCTATGACACTGCAGCAGAAACAACAACAGCTAGTCTATTCTATGACACTGCAGCAGAAACAACAACAGCGAGACTATTCTATGACACTGCAGCAGAAACAACAACAGCTAGTCTATTCTATGACACTGCAGCAGAAACAACAACAGCTAGTCTATTCTATGACACTGCAGCAGAAACAACAACAGCTAGTCTATTCTATGACACTGCAGCAGAAACAACAACAGCTAGTCTATTCTATGACACTGCAGCAGAAACAACAACAGCGAGTCTATTCTATGACACTGCAGCAGAAACAATAACAGCTAGTCTATTCTATGACACTGCAGCAGAAACAACAACAGCGAGTCTATTCTATGACACTGCAGCAGAAACAATAACAGCGAGTCTATTCTATGACACTGCAGCAGAAACAACAACAGCTAGTCTATTCTATGACACTGCAGCAGAAACAACAACAGCTAGTGTATTCTATGACACTGCAGCAGAAACAACAACAGCGAGACTATTCTATGACACTGCAGCAGAAACAACAACAGCTAGTCTATTCTATGACACTGCAGCAGAAACAATAACAGCTAGTCTATTCTATGACACTGCAGCAGAAACAACAACAGCTAGTCTATTCTGTGACACTGCAGCAGAAACAACAACAGCGAGACTATTCTATGACACTGCAGCAGAAACAACAACAGCGAGTCTATTCTATGACACTGCAGCAGAAACAATAACAGCTAGTGTATTCTATGACACTGCAGCAGAAACAACAACAGCTAGTCTATTCTATGACACTGCAGCAGAAACAACAACAGCGAGACTATTCTATGACACTGCAGCAGAAACAACAACAGTTAGTCTATTCTATGACACTGCAGCAGAAACAATAACAGCGAGACTATTCTATGACACTGCAGCAGAAACAATAACAGCGAGACTATTCTATGACACTGCAGCAGAAACAATGACTCTCTCGCTTTCGTTTCCATTCTACCATATTTATGTTTAATATTTAACCTCAGTTCTAAATGACTTGTTTAAGCTTGTTGCGAGTCTATGCTTCACTGGGTTATAGTAAGATAGGAGAAAATGCTAAATCACACTGATATTGTCATTCATTGCTATAGCAACCAGATTGTTTGATCTTGTCGTCACATTGTTTACCTTCGATACGAGCTACTTCCCCATGGGAGGGCGGCTAGGGTTGTAGTGAGGTCAGGTTGTGATGAATATACGGACAGTTGGGATTGTTACTGATGATGATGATGATGACACCAAGACTTGTATAACTGCCTCCTCGTGCATTGTCTATTACTAACAATACTGTTCCTGCTACTATTACTATTGCAACAACAACAGCAATTACAACTGCTATTACTAATAATACTGTTCTTGCTACTATTACTATTGCAACAACAGCAGCAATTACAACAACTACTACCACTTTTACTACTACCACTACCACAACCACCACTACTGCTACTGCTGCTGCTGTTAATGTTCTTTCAAAGACCTTAAAAGTATTCAGTATAGAGTTTTTCTTTTAGTTTACGAATTTTGAAGCTGTTCACGAGACAGTCTCTCTCTCTCTCTCTCTCTCTCTCTCTCTCTCTCTCTCTCTCTCTCTCTCTCATGGCATAGTGATAGGAGATAGTGACAGAAGATAGCCGACAGGAGATAGTGATAGGAGAAAGCCGACAGGAGATAATGACAGGATATAGTGATAGGGTATAATGATAGGAGATAGTGACAGTAGATAGTAATAGGAGATAGTGACATTAGATAGTGATAGGAGATAGTGACAGGAAATATTGATAGGAGATATTGACAGGAGATAGTGACATGAGATAGTGACATGAGATAGTGACAGGAGATAGTGACAACAGACATTGATATGAGATAGTGACATGAGATAGTGACAGGAGATAGTGACAAGAGATAGTGATAGGAGATAGTGACAGGAGATGGTGACAGAAGATAGTGACAGGAGATAGTGACATGAGATAGTGACAGGAGATGGTGACAGGAGATGGTGACAGGAGATAGTGATAGGAGATGGTGACATGAGATAGTGACATGAGATAGTGACATGAGATAGTGACATGAGATAGTGACAGGAGATAGTGACAACAGACATTGATATGAGATAGTGACATGAGATAGTGACATGAGATAGTGACATGAAATAGTGACATGAGATAGTGACAGGAGATAGTGACAAGAGATAGTGACAGGAGATGGTGACAGAAGATAGTGACAGGAGATAGTGACATGAGATAGTGACAGGAGATGGTGACAGAAGTAGTGACAGGAGATAGTGATAGGAGATGGTGACAGAAGATAGTGACAGGAGATGGTGACAGAAGATAGTGACAGGAGATAGCCATCAGGAGATAGTCATCAGGAGATAGTGACAGGAGATAGTGACAGGAGATAGTGACAGGAGATAGTGACAGGAGATAGTGACAGGAGATAGTGACAGGAGATAGTGACAGAAGATAGTATAGGAGATAGTGACAGGAGATGGTGACAGAAGATAGTGACAGGAGATAGCCATCAGGAGAAAGTGACATGACATAGTGACAAGAGATAGTGATTGAGATAGTGACAGGAGATAGTGACATGAGATAGTGATAGGGGATAGTGATAGGAGATAGTGACAGGAGAAAGTGACATGACTTAGTGACAAGAGATAGTGATTGAGATAGTGACAGGAGATAGCGATTGAGATAGTGGCAGGAGATGTGATAGGAGATAGTGACAGGAGATAGTGATAGGAAATAGTGACAGAAGATAGTGACAGGAGATAGTGACAGGAGATAGTGATTGAGATAGTGATTGAGATAGTGACAGGAGATAGTGACAGGAGATAGTGATATGAGATAATGACAGGAGACAGTGATTGAGATAGTGATAGGAGATAACAGACAGTGACAGGAGATAGTGACAGGAGATAGTGATATGAGATAATGACAGGAGACAGTGATTGAGATAGTGATAGGAGATAGTGATTGAGATAGTGACAGGAGATAACAGACAGTGACAGGAGATAGTGACAGAAGATAACAGACAGTGACAGGAGATAGTGATAGGAGATAGTGATTGAGATAGTGATAGGAGATAACAGACAGTGACAGGAGATAGTGATTGAGATAGTGACAGGAGATAACAGACAGTGACAGGAGATAGTGACAGGAGATAACAGACAGTGACAGGAGATAGTGACAGGAGATAGTGATTGAGATAGTGACAGGAAATAGTGATTGGAGATAGTGACAGGAGACCCCCGTGTGGGTTCCGGGGCCCCATTGTGGGGAAAACAAGAATAGACCCACTGCCTCACCAAAAGCATGTCGTAAGAGTCGACTACTTGGGGAGCTTCCTTTGAAGTCGGTGTGAATCTGCCGGAGAGGCAAGGAACCAACAGTCTGTATTCAAGAGAATGAAATCTGTAAAACTGATGCACACGCAACACTCAGGTTCTGGAGCAGGACTGTAGTTCAGTAGTGGACGAGCAACCAGAACCTTCCGCCAGAATTTACAGCTGGTGAACGCGAAGAAGAAGAAGAAGTGACAGGAGACTGATAGGAGATAGTGATTGAGATAGTGACAGGAGACAGTGATAGGAGATAGTGACATGAGATGGTGACAGGAGATAATGATAGGAGATAGCAGACATGAGATGGTAACAGGAGATAATGACAGGAGATAGTGATATGAGATGGTGACAGGAGATAATGAAAGGAGATAGTGATAGGAGATAGCAGACATGAGATGGTGACAGGAGATAATGACAGAAGATAGTGATAGGAGATGGTGACAGGAGATAACTGACAGTGACAGGAGATAGTGACAGGAGATAGTGATAGGAGATGGTGACAGGAGATAACTGACAGTGACAGGAGATAGTGACAGGAGATAACAGACACGAGTTAGCTGACTAGAGCAACCCTAGTTGACCTGGACAATCAATGAGATATTTTCAAGAGAGTTCACTCAGGGGCACTAACTGAAGCGAAATGAGGCGTGAGCTTGTAAACTTGAGCTGTAAGAGTTCCCTCACCAAGGCTAGAGAGATTTGATAGTGTATAAATTAAGATGAATGGCCATGTATTAGCCCTGTTTGTCTGGTCCTGTCATCAATCAATACTGTGTTGACTCTTCAATGAGGCTTGGATGCACGACAAACATGACATTTGCCCAAGCTTTGGAGCCACCTGCAGTAAGGACGCTAGGTTCAAGCTAGCCGGTCTTCGTGGTCAAGTGGGTAAGGATGCTAGGTTCAAGCTAGCCGGTCTTCGTGGCCAAGTGGGTAAGGATGCTAGGTTCAAGCTAGCCGGTCTTCGTGGCCAAGTGGGTAAGGATGCTAGGTTCAAGCTAGCCGGTCTTCGTGGCCAAGTGGGTAAGGACGCTAGTTGCAAGCTAGCCGGTCTTCGTGGCCAAGTGGGTAAGGATGCTAGGTTCAAGCTAGCCGGTCTTCGTGGCCAAGTGGGTAAGGATGCTAGGTTCAAGCTAGCTGGTCTCCATGGCCAAGTGGGTAAGGATGCTAGGTTCAAGCTAGCCGGTCTCCGTGGGTAAGTGGGTAAGGACGCTAGGTTCAATCTAGCTGGTCTCCATGGCCAAGTGGGTAAGGACGCTAGGTTCAAGCTAGCCGGTCTCTGTGGCCAAGTGGGTAAGGACGCTAGGTTCAATCTAGCTGGTCTCCATGGCCAAGTGGGTAAGGACGCTAGGTTCAAGCTAGCCGGTCTCCGTGGCCAAGTGGGTAAGGATGCTAGGTTCAAGCTAGCTGGTCTCCATGGCCAAGTGGGTAAGGATGCTAGGTTCAAGCTAGCCGGTCTCAGTGGCCAAGTGGGTAAGGACGCTAGGTTCAAGCTAGCTGGTCTCCATGGCCAAGTGGGTAAGGACGCTAGGTTCAAGCTAGCCGGTCTCCGTGGATTTAGCTCCTTGCTTGTATAAAACAATGGGCTCTGATAAGTGTGTGATCAATATTGCTCCGTACCCCTCCCCACCTCTTACTCCCCAGCACACTTTCTGGTCCAGATTAGTCGATGAGCTAGTTTGCTGGTAAGCTAGTTTTTTGATGAGATAATTAGTTGGCGAGTTTACCAGTTGGCGAGTTAGAAAGTGATGCGTTAGTTAACAGATGAATATGTAGCAGGTGATTGAAAAATCTGGTGAATTGGCTAGGCAGCAGATTAGTTAGTTAGTGAGCTAGCAGACGAAAGAGTCAATGGCTGAATTATCTCGCAGATGACTTGGCTAGTGAGATGGTTAAAGAAGAGTTAGTTAGCTACTGAGCTATTAA